TTCGATAAAGTACCCCTTTGCGACGTAATTAAAATCGTTCTGATGGTTTACCGTGTATTATAGAAAAGGATAAACTTTCAAAATACTAAGAACAACGCAACAATTAAACTGAATAATATGGTTTTGTAATTCTCTGAATCGGGTAAAAGACGCTAGTGATTCTCACAGCTGCGGTTCAGAGAAGATATTACCAAAACACTGAGAGCTAGTTTGAAATTAATTTATTTCACAATTGAATTACTGCAGTGTATACGAATCTTTTTTGGATGCTACGGATCGTTACCGTGTCCAGAAGGCACAAAAAGAACACTTGTTTAAGGGTAATTTAATCTAGTGAAAATTAAATCCAAATAAGTCTGCATTACTATTGGACTGTTCAAAACTTGGATTTATTTATAAATGGTTTTATAATGTTTTCCAAACGGCTAATATTAATTTCCTGCTTGAATGTTTTGACAAAATATAACTTACAAAAGGTACAGAATTCCGACATTCCATTTATTTACCACCTTAAACGAGGAGATCACGTATGTCACAAACCTCACGATTTAATTGTCAATATGAAATACCCAAAATTAAAAAGACCCTGACCAAAAGCTGCTTATAGTTGGTATACATCAGACTGCTTAATAAATATTCTCAGATTTGCGCTTGTCAATTTCATTAAAAAAATATCTTTTACATTTCCCATTGTTTATTTTTTTTGTTTTTTGTTTTGTGCTTCATTCATATCTTTGTATGTATATTTGTGTAATGTAAAATTGGTATACTGTTTCGGGATTCCATTTCCAGACATCCGTTGCACGTGTCCAAACCATATTAACTGTTTGCTTTTGATAGGTTTAGGTTTGTTTATTTTTCTACTCCCCTCTGTAAAATACCTAATTACCCGCCGATCTAGCATGCGGGAAGCGTCACTTTACCAGGTCAGTTTCGTTTCCCATGTTTCCGAGCCACTTCGGACATTTCCGGGATTTTATCGCACGGACTTTTTCCCACGCTTTGAATTTTGACGTTTGTCAATTCTGACGGTCATGTCAGTGAATGTATTTGTGTTTTGCGAAAATATAAACAAAAACTGGTCGTAGAAAAAGTATATTATGCAACACGTTCGGTAAACTTTTTAATTCACTCCTTTATTAAAAATTCGCTCGGCTCTTGTCAAATAAACTCGTGAGTCAAATGCCGTTTCCCGCACTTGTTGCCTAATATACTATTTTCTACTCCCATGTGTAAAATACCTAATTACCCACCGATCTAATGTGCGGGAAACGTCACTTTACCACGTCAGTTTCATTTCCCACGGATCCGAGCCACTTCGGACATTCCCGAGATTTTACCGCACGGGTTTGGGTGCAATCGGATGTTTTCGGAGATATTTCCCACGCTTTGAATTTTGACGTTTGTCAATTCTGACGGTCATGTCAGTGAATGTGTTCGTGTTGTTTTGCGAAAATGTACCCAAAAACTAACTGTCATAGAAAAAGTATAGTATACAACACGTTCAGTAATTGTATATTATGCAACAAGTGCGGTAAACGGCATTTGACTCACGAGTTTATTTGACACTAGCGGAGCGAGTGTTTAATAAACGAGTGAGTCAAAAAGTTTACCGAATGTGTTTCTACCACCGTTAGTTTTTGGGTACATTTTCGCAAAACCCGTGCAGTAAAATCCCGGAAATGTCCGATGTGGCTCGGATTCGTCCGAAATGAAACTCACGTGGTAAAGCGACGTTTCCCGCACGCTAGATCGGTGGGTAATTAGGTATTTTACAGACGGTAGTAGAAAAACTTTTGAACTCACTCGTTTATTAAAAACTCGTGAGTCAAATGCCGTTTACCGCACTTGTTGCATAATATACTATTAATCACAGCACACAAAATGTATGTGTAGCAAGTCAAAACAAAATAAACAGAATAAAAGTACAAAACACATGAAACAAATTTGTAAACGTAGACAGGTTACACGGGTTTAAAATTTGAAATTTAGGTACTCATTGCTATTTTGAAAACAGTTTATTGTTAGTAGATGCTTGACAGCTCTCGTAAAAGATTTGTTACCAACGCGGTTTATATTACATGGCAATTTATTGTAAAAATTGAGGTTTAAAGAATTTCTGATCAATTTATTAAGACTGTATTGAGGAATCGTTAACTGGTATGCATTACGCGTTGCGTAGGAATGAGTGTCACACTGATTAGAAATATTAGATTTATTAGAGTGAATCTCGATTAGGGTATTGTATATGAAAGCATGCTAAAGTCATAATGTGAATGCTGGGAAAACTTGTTCTACAGGATTCTCTATGGTCCAAACCAAGAAGGACTCAGAGAGCTTTTTTTTTTTAAGACGAAACACTCTCACTTCATAACTAGATCCCCACCCCATATGGTGACCCCATATTGCATTTTAGAGTGAAATAAAGTCTGTCAATAGTGATACCGACCAGAGTGACGCTCGTGTCTTTCGTAATATTAATTTAAATTAATATTTGAGGAAACTAGAAGATTTTGCGTTTTATTTCGGTTCGTAAGCAAGTTATTTGCCTCAAACTAAGAGCGCGCCCGCTCCTCAGCAACATTACTTCTATTGTTCAGTTCGTCCAGAGACGAACTTCCATAGATAATTGTGGTGCCGTCTGCAAATAGTGTACACTTGATGGGCTTATTGAAATGTGCAAAATCATTTATAAGAATGAAAGGGGCGAACCCAAAACCGATCCTTGCGGGGTAAAAAAGGGACTACCAGCTACGCTCACTCTTTGACGGCGATCAGCAAAATACGATTCGAAAAAAGATATGACGGAAAAAGAGAGATATATGTGCTGTCCATCCTCCCATTTCTCCAATGTGTCATAAACAATCGCACGCATCGCTTTTATAGTTGACTTTCCGGGTAAAAAACCCCACTGTTCATTAGCAAAAAATGAAATTTTTAGCAGGTAGTCTAGCAGCAACTCTTTCAGTATAATTTTAAAAATCTTGCCAAAAATAGGCAATATTGAAATAGGACGGTAGTTGTTTACCATATGTACTGCTTTTTTTTGAAAAGTACATACTTAAATTGATCTGGGAAAGTACTGCAGGCTAAACAGTCGTTGTATAAGTGCGTTAAAAGGGGTATCAAAAAATCAGAACATTCTTTATCGTCTGTAATCGTATGTGTGATTCTCGTCGTTTCTCTTATACTTTCATTCGTTTTTCTTCCATTCTTGACATTCCTGCTGCTCGCCGCCAGAAATCCATTTCTGTTCTGTTTTAAAGACTTCATCAAATACCAAAAGCATTTGTTGCAATTCGAGTTGATTAGTTTTGGGGAGTTGCAAACCCTCCCCCTTTTTTGTTTTGGCTAAAAAACTGATGTACCTACTTTTGGCGCTTGCAAAAAAAACATCGAAATGGTAAATGGAAAAATTTTCCAAAGAAACTTCCGCAGGCTACTGTAGTACTTTTTACAAAATTTCTGGATTCATCCTGCGCAGTTTTTGCTTAGTCGAACTTGCTAACGTTTCGCCAATCATCATGTTGGCTTCTTCAGAGCTTGATTGAAACAGGTTCAGCTTTGAAGGAGCCAATAGGATGATTGGCGAAACGTTAGCAAGTTCGACTCAGCAAAAACCGACGCACAGTGGGCCAGGGACTGATTAATTCGATTTAAAAAGAAAAAAATATTACCAACATCAAACTTAAATACATTATAATTATTGCACAAGGTGTTCACAAAAAAAATCTATATTTACAAACAGTTTTTAGTTAAATCATGAAAACAGCTTAATAACACTACACAAAATGCAGAGATATTTTGAAATATTTAAGTAAATGCAAAATGCAAGGTGTCTCAAAAGTAACAAACAATATTTAAGTTTGTTTTCTTGAAAGAAACGATATTAAACAATAACGGGGTTTTTATACATCTAAAGTATCATTCAGTTAAGCTCTTTGCTCTGTTTTGGTTACAATTTTTGCATTAGTCATAGCTCTAAAAAAGTTAAAGTTCGCAATAAGAACGTTCATTTAAGGTTTTGATTTATAGTAAGTCTTAGTGTAAAAAAGAATGACAATCCATAGTAAACAAAAGTTATGACAATACCTTTCACCATTGAAATGCCAAAAATAATAACAATGTCTTACATGAATCAAACTTATGTTACACTATCGCTCTATAAAAAAAAAGAAAACAAATTTACATATTATTAGGTCGAAACTTATAACGAAAACCATTTTTGTCCTTTTTTTTTGCCCACCCGGTAAGTTCTTTAAAAATTATCTTTATAAAATGGAGCAGGTGGGAGGGAGTAAGATGGTGTCTTACACGTAAAATCATAATCTGCTACTTTAATACATAGCATCATCAGTATCCCTAAATTATGCTAAAATTGTAACATATTGCTTAATAAATTACAAACATATTTTTTTGAGCTATTTTTTTAATATGACTCAAAACAATGTAGAATTTTTTAAGGATAATTGCCTTTTAGAGTCATTTACTTGGCATAAAATTAGTCTCAAAACTTACCTTTACCGGCTTTTCACACGGAAAATTGCATAAATAAAACATTTTCAAAATGACTCTGACACCAAGCGTTACAAAATTATTGTTGACGTTTTATGAAGGTTCATGGCTTATTTAATTAGTCTATGATAAACAAAACGTTCATTGTACGAAGTGTATTATGCTTTCATTTTTTTCATTTCAGAAATCCAGAAGTTTTGCAAAAAGGAAAAATTTTCGTTTAAGTACATCGTATCAAAAAATATAATCGGTTTTCCTCGAATATTTGCGGAAACACCATGAATTTCAGAAGTTTCTTATTAATCTACATGTTGTCAAGCACTGAAATTAGGAGCTTTGTCCCAATTTCACGATTCCTGGGTTTTATAAAGTTTGCTAGATCTCAATAGCGGTTTCGAACACTACCTATGAATAAAAATAGGCAAAAAAAATCTTAAATGCTCGGTTATTTTAATTTTACCATTGTATCTTTATCGCACTGGCAGGCGAAACACGAAATTGTCAAATCGAACGAGCAGAACGGCACCCCAGAACAAGCGGATCAGCAGCAACAGCAACCACCCAAGGGGGGACCGGCGGGACAGCAGCAGGGCGGCGGCGGCGGCGGGGGCAAACACGGGGCCTCCAATTCTGGCGGAAACGGCAACGGCCCGCCGCCTTCCGGCGCCACCCCTTCGCCGGCGGGCGTCGCATCGTCGACTTTGGCGTCTTCCGCGTCGTTGGGGGGAAACGCGGGGGCCGGAAAGAGGGGCTCGAGCGGCCACCGTCGGGACAAGGCGCGGGACAAACATAACGAAAGGAATGGTGAGTCGGTAGTTTTCAGGAGACGTAGGGGGTGTCGAGGGGAGTTCATTAATTAATTAAGTTCGTGCGGGATGGGATGGACATCGGCCCCTTGGTCGGTATGGGTTGTAAAACAATTTCATTAGAGGTTTGAGGGGTCGTTGCTTCCATTCAACGATCCCCTGCGTGTTGTAGGGGAGGGTGGCATGAAATGTTTTTTGACAAACGCAAACTGGATCAAAATTTGACATTTTAATAGGAAATTGTTTGATTAGTGTAGGCTAATAAAGACCATTAATAATGGAAACAGTGATTGCAATATGTAATGAAACACGAACCAAACTTCTTTCTCACGGCATTGACTTAAAGGTATAGACTTGTGAAATGAAAACTTAATAAACTATTTGCAAAAATTCGGAAAACGTCTCTCTGATACTTAAAATATTAAAATGAATCGATGAAAACTCGGATAAAAAGCTTTTTCTTGATATTAACAAATTTAATGAAAATATTATAACAAACGACTTAATTTTTTCAATATAAATTCATTTTTCTACTCGCTACTGTAAAATACACACTTCGGACGTTTCCGGTATTTTAGTCATGGCTTTGGAGAAGCGATCGAATGTTTTCGGTAGATTTTAGCTATAGTATTTTGACGTTTTTCACGTCACACAACTAAAAATTAAAACGGATAAGGTCTGCTGAAAACTTTTTCTGATTATTAAATAATAAAATAAACAAAATACATAAAACTGGACCAATTTGTAGGAATTTTCCTTGTTAACTTGGAAAGTCATTTCAAATTTACTGAAATTTCTATTAAACTTACAGGTTTTCTAGAGTGGGGCAGTGTTTTTTTTTCTTGTACCGATTGATCATTTATATTGTCCCTTTAATTTTTTGTATTTAACGTTTGGGAAAAAAAACGTCAAATACAAAATTTGTTTAAAAAATATAAATCTACTTTGAAGATATATTTTGATATATACAGGGCGTTGCAGAAATCACTCACAGATAAAAGTTTTTAATGAAAATACACTAAAAATTCTACACATTTCTTGTTTTATAATATGTTCTATACCCAATGGTTTGTGAGATATATGCGCTTTTAATTTAATTTGTAATTTATATCTAAGGTGGCTGTGAAGTAAAATGCCTTATCCTGAAAGAGAAAAACAATTAATTTTTGAAACATCTCTTAAAGCAATTAAGAGGGCTAAAATTGCTGAAAGGGAACTACGTGTTAACGTGTTAACTCCCAAATGCACGTTTCAGAAAAAAAGCTTTACGTTGAAGCCATGAGAAATTTCAACAAACATCCGGGCGAGTCAGAAAGAAAGAGAATATTGGAAAGACATGAAGATAGTGATTGAAGGAGTAAAAATTGAAGAACATCGTAATATATCCATAAGAAAAATATCGGAAAACCAACTTGAATCAAGAATTTATTGATCAAAAAAATATATCGTATTCCTGGCATCGAGAAAAAGTTAATTAACCGAAATGATGCTTATTTAAAAAATGTTTTTTGGGCCGACGAGTCATCGTTTTCAATCAGTGGTATGACAAATAGAAAAACCAGCGGACAGTGGGTCACGTAAATCCTCATTGCTACAGGTAATTTCTATTTCAAGGACGTCAAACAACATTATAATAGGTACCCATTTCTTCGACGTTACTTTAAACGATAGTGCGTATGTAAATATTCTTCAGGGCGGATTAGAAAATTATATGGATGAGCTCCTATTGGAACAAACAAGGTTCCTTGTCTTTCAACAAGACTGCGCTCCTGCTCATTATGTAGTATTTGTTGACCACTATTTAAATGAAAGGTTTAATGAATGTAAATGCGTAAACGCAAATACCATCGATAACAGAGAGCATCTAAAGCAGAACAGAAGTTCAAATAATAAATGAAAAATATTCCCAATCTATCACTGCCGCTTTAGAAAGGTTATGCAGAACATACCTCAGACGTATATACAATCCCATACATATTGTATTATAACTACCTAGAATATTTTTTAACATTGCGTTTAACTTAACGAATATTTCGAAACCAAATGAATTTAGGTATAGGATACATATATTAGGATATAATTGGATATTATATATTGGAAGTTTTTTGTCTCAAACGTGCAATCAGAGGTTAATTACATGTTTGAGCCAATTGAGCCCTTTTATTTGGTTTAATAAACGCTTCCAAAATTCATTGTTTTTGTCTTTTCGATTAAATCATTTTATATATAATGAAAGGAGCATAGTTTGGCTGAGGTGACGGCCTCCTTGTTACAACCATCTAAGATATAAATTATAAATTCTAGAATATTATTTTATTTTTGAATGTTGCTTTTATGATAAAAACTATTGGATTTGTGTAAAGGACACATTTTACAAGCAATGTACAGATTTTTTAGCGGAATTTATTAACTGTACAGAGTGTTCGATTAAACTTTTATCTGTTGGTGATTTCTGGAACACCCTGTATATGTTAAAATACATCTTGAAAATAACTCACTGGATTAACTTTTGTATTTGCCGTTTTTTGTCCCAAACGGTACAGTAGAAAATTATATATGTAGTAAATGTTTTTTAAAAATGATGAAGTTTTATTGGTTTAAATACGGCGAAAGTTCGCAGTCAAAGTTGGGAAACTTTATTTTCCATCGTGAGCGAGGAAGACAAAGATATTTTCGCTACTACAAAAGAATGAAGAACTTAGAAAAATAAATAGCCTCTGCCACACCACTATTGAACATACCTACAAAAAACCAGATACCATCAAAACATAATAATGCAATGTGGAGACGGAAAAAGACCACATGTTCTCTTGCAAACAAAAATGTTCTCGGTAAAGAGAAAAACCAACTCAATTGTGTGAGATGTCAACCTACACTGTCTTACAGCCGCACCTGATAGGCCGCAAATCCTTAAAAAAAAACAAATTAATCCGTGTTTCGCTACATAAATTATTCTTATAATTTTCGACTGGAAAATAAACATACATATTTAAAGATTTCGTTTAAAACCAATTGATTATTTCTAAAAATAGTTTAGGTACATAAATAGTACGCACAAGTTACTTATATTTCTTTGTTTTTACTTATATTTTTTATTTAATAATTAATAAATACCTCGCCTTCTACACATTTGTACTGTGAAAAATTATAAACTCACTTCTTATATTTATCTCTTGTTGCCTTAATATTTCGTCCAACCACCTTTATATTTTAACATCTGTTAATATTTTAGGCGCGCTATCAATTCACTCCTTAAGTGTATTAGTTGAATTTTTGAAAAAGTTGATCTCGTCTTTGTTTGAGTTCGTTTATATTATTTATTTTTGGCTTTTCCTGATCATATAATTTCCTTATTAAAATCTTGAAACCACTGTTGTGTAGTTGCAGCTACATGGATGGGTGCGCTGTCCTATGTTTTCGTATTCGGTCCGCGTAATAAATGGTAGAAAGCAATAATGTAACATTGCTTGATAACTAACAGCAGTCGTACGCCCATCGATAAATGCCAATTTTTCAATCAACTCTCAAATCACGCCAGTAGTACTTACATCCATCGGCAATATCCAGATTGAATTGCTTTACATCACTAAATATGACATGTTGCCAAGAGTCACCTTTTGTTACATATTTTTATGCAAACTTAAGTCTATTCAATTTATGTTGTGTTTTCAAGGCTGCTTTACTAAATCCTTTTTGATGTTTGATATGTTTTGATGTAACTGCGTTTTTTTTTACCCAACTTGGATCATAATAATAAATAATGATACACAAAGTACGTCTTGCATTTAAAAGTTTTGCATACGATTGAGTTTATAAATATTCACAGTTTCACCCGTCTCGCTCGAGACACATGGGCGACGTCTCAGCGTCAAGGTCGAATAAATCCTATACTCTGAAAATACTCATTTGTATAATTTTATACTCATTTGTATTTCTAAAATATTTTTTTAGATTATTTTATTTCATATGGCTGCCATTTACGTACTTGGAGAGATAGATAGATACTACAGACCTCTTTTTCTAACAATGTCAAAATAACATTTGTGAAAAGAGGTGGATATATCTGCCTCTCGAATATTTGTGTACGTAATACCCAGGCAGATCATTGCTGTGCAATGTGTACGCCATGTTTGACGCGTGCGTAGTATGTACGGCAAAGTTTTATGGGAATTCCCTTTCTTGTTAAATTACTTTTTGTTCAAGTTAACAAGATTTGAGATGTACAAAATAAAATAAAATTTGAACTGAGGAGGCTTTTACTTGATGGAAATCCATTTATCAAAATAAATAAGAACTAAAAGTTCAGATTTTCACGAAATTATATATTTTGATATGACAATTGTTTCGACAACACCGTGTCTTTATCAAATGTAATATTATCGTACTATATATACCGAAAAATGACCATAAAACCTTAATTAATGTTGTTGCGAGAATTTAAGTTCAATAAAGGAGAGGTATTCAAATCTAATTGATCGTTAAGCAATACATTTCAATGTCTCATTTTGTTAATCTTCATGGCTTCCAGTAAATTTAATTTTCTACTTTTTGTGCCTATATGTAATATATCAAAATTGTCGTCAAAAATGTGTTTTTCTGTGTTTTAGTGTGTAGCATAATTAGAATTTAGACTATTGTTTTTAAACGCTCTTATATGTTCGTTAATGCGTTTCTTGAAGGATCTACCTGTTTGTCCAATATAAATTTTAGGACAAGATCCACATTTTAACCTGTAGACACCTGATTTTTGGGATTTTGGACATTTCGAATTATTGTTTTTTAAATATTTTCCTATTGTGTTGTTAGTTCTAAAAGCTATTTTTAAACCATATTTTGACAAATGTTTTGAAACTTTTTCACTAGGTTCTCCTATGTATGTAATTGTTTTTTTAAAATAAAATTTTGTTTTATTTATCTAGTGAAGGTAAGGTTGCATGTAGGTATTATAGTATTATATCTCAGATATTTAAAATCAAAATAAATATTATATTAGTAATA